AGAGAGCCCAGTCCAGTGCAGGCTGAAGGCTCTGCTCTTACCACGTCTGAAGCTACCCACCCAGGACTCCCCGTCACTTGCCAACATAGACCTTGCCCATAGGAAAGACTAGAAATGTTTGTTGGACTTGCAGGTCAAGATGGCAGACTGAACATATGCATTTTTTCTTTTTCCCTTCAGAAGCCACTAATACAACAGTAAAAGGGGGAGCCAGATGCGGTGGCTCATGCCTATAATCCCAGCACTTTGGGAGGCTAAGGTGGGTAGATCACCTGAGGTCAGGAGTTTGAGATCAATCTGGCCAACATGGAGAAACCCCAACTCTACTAAAAATGCAACAGGTTAGCCAGGCATGGTGGTGGGCGCCTACGGTCCCAGCTACTCAGGAGGCTGAGGCAGGAGAATCACTTGAGCCTGGGAGGCGGAGGTTGCAGTGAGCAAAAAAAAAACCCAAAATTAGTGTCAGGCATGGTGTCACATGCCTGTAATCCCAACTCTCAGGAAGCTGAGGCAGGTGCTTGAACCTGGGGAGTGGAGATTGCAATGAGCTGGGATTGTGCCACTGCACTCCAGCCTGGGTGACAGAGCGAGACTCCATCTCAAAAAAAAAAAAAAAAAAAAAAAAGCCAAACCAAACCAAACAGCAAAGGATTTTAAGGCCATAAGGACAAGAACAAGAGAGAAAATAGCAACAAAATAGAGAGCTAAGGAGCAAGTGGATAAATGGTAACTGACACCCACCTGAGAAAGTCCAGAGAGGACAGGAGACACACAGGCCTCACGGGAGGACCTCTAAGGCTCAGGGGTTGGTGGCAGTGCTTGAAGATGGGGCTGAGAACAGGAGGACTGGTTGAAAATTTCTTTAAGGAGGATTTAGATTCATTCTGCTTTAGATTCTCCCCAGCCTGGCAGGAACACAGAATTGAAATCTCTCAAGAGGGCTTCAGCTGGGCACAGTGGGTCACGCCTGTAATCCCAGCACTTTGGGAGGCCGAGGCAGGCAGATCACCTGAGGTCAGGAGTTTGAGACCAGCCTGACCAACATGGTGAAACCCTGTTTCTACTAAAATTACAAAAATTAGCTGGGCATGGTGGCGGGCGCCTGTAATCCCAGCTACTTGGGAAACTGAGGTGGGAGAATTGCCTGAACCCAGGAGGTTGCAGTGAGCAGAGATCACACCACTGCACTCCAGCCTGGGTGACAGAGTGAGACTCTGTCTCAAAAAAAAAAAAAAAAAAAAAAAAAAAGAAAGAAAGAAAAAGAAAGACAGCACCACCCTGAGAGCAAGCAACTAAGCCAACATTTATGTGGATGCTGAGGACAACGTCAGCCTCTTCCCTCAGCTAGCCCGTATTCTCTGAGGAGGAGAAAACAGAAAAGCCTCCTCCATGGACTCTCATCCATCCAAGAGGAAAAACATAATGAAATAAGCATTCAGAGAATCCAAGGATCATCCAGCCAGATCACTCTACTGTGTCCCCCACAGCTAATAAGCCCCCATCTATGGGCTTGGAGGCTCCAACAAAGTCATTAGTCTTCCTGCCTTAATCATGAACAGATAACGGTGGTCCCCAGACCACTAAGGAAAGTCTCTAACATGGAAGCTCAAGACCAAAACAGAGGTTATACAGGGGGAAATAATCTTTCTGCTCTGTTTCCCCACCTCCAAAAAACCTGTCAGTCATATCTTCAGAGAGAAGAGATAAGAGAAAGTACTGCATCATTAAAACAAGAATAGGATTCTTTAAGAGTGGGTATTCATAGAACAGCAGCAACAAAACCAAGCAAACCTTGGAAATTAAAAAATATAGTCACAGAAATTAAGAACTTGAGTAGAAGGGTAGGATGATAACATTGAGAAAATGTTGAAAATAGAGCAAAAAGGCAGAGATAGCAAGCAAGAGGGGAAAATAAGATGAGAAATTTGGAGGACCAATCTAAGAGATCCAACATTTGAAGACTATGCCTTCCAGAAGAAAACAAAACATGGAAGAGAAGAAATCATCAATAATATAATTAAAGAAAATTTCCTGGCTGGGCACAGTGGCTCATGCCTGTAATCCCAGCACTTCGGGAGGCCGAGGCGAGTGGATCACCTGAGGTCAGGAGTTCAAGACCAGCCTGGCCAACATGGTGAAACCCCATTTCTACTAAAAATACAAAAAATTAGCCAGGTGTGGTGGCAGGCACCTGTAATCCCAGCTACCTGGGAGGCTGAGGCAAGAAAGGTGCTTGAACCCAGGAGGTGGAGACACGTAATTGAGATCATGCCATTGCACTCCAGCCTGGGCAATAGAGCGAGACTCTGTCTCAAAAAAAAAAAAAAAAAAGAAAGAAAGAAAGAAAGAATTTCCTAGAACTGAAAATACCCACTTTCCAGATTGAAAGGGCCTACTAGAGTAGATGAAACAGACCAAACCAAGGCATAGCGCGCAATGATGAAATTTTAGAACATTGTCGATAAGCCTAAAAGCATCTAGAAAGAAAATAATTAAGCAGTTGTAAAGGATCATGGGTGAGAATGGACCTAGACTTTTTGAAAGCAACACTGGAGTTAGAAGACAATTAAGTGATACCTTCAAAATTCTGAAGGAAAATTATTCTCGATCTATAATACTTAGTCCTCTGGGTTCACAATTCCACGAGCAACATTCACCAGTGCACCATGGAACACAATGAGAATCTTTGCTCCTCGAGTTTTGTACAGTGCAATGCTTTGGCTCTACCCTTCCTCAGGCAGCCATTGGATGATGTGCTTCACCAAGATGAGGGAGTAAACCAAGGAAGGGGAAGGCATGGGAGAAAAGGAACAGAGGAGTCAACATAGGAGAGGGCAGATAAATCACTCAGACTGCTGGTGTGGGAGACCCTGGATGGCAGCTGGGCTTAGAGGCACTTCGTCCAGATTCGAGCAGGTCAGAAAGTTCCAAGGGACATTTCTTCAAGATGGTCATTATGGCCTGCATGTTGGTTTCCTCCCCAAATTTATAGGTTGAATCACTAACCTCCAACGTGATGATATTGAGGTGGGCAATTGGCCCCGGTAATTGATTTAGATGAGTCATGAGGAGCGCTCCCATGATGGAATTACTACCCTTATAAGAAGAGGAAGAGACACAGAACTTCCCTCCTCTCCACTATGTGAGGACACAGTAAAAAAGTGACTGTCAGCAAGCCGGGAAGTGAGCCCCACAGAACCTGACCATGCACAGCACCCTGATCTAGCCTCTAGAACTATCAGGAGAAATAAATGTCTGTTTAAGCCACCCAAATCATATGACAGTTTGTTGTAGACTGAACCTAAGACCAAAGTGAAAGAGAAATTCCAATTTTGTCTCATCATGGAAGAGGAGTTTTGGCGTTGAAATATGATACACATACAGAAACTGAGCAAAGGGAAAAGGAACCAGGATTAACAGGGAAACGAAGTTCTGTGGACATGATCATAGCACACGGCATGGCTTTGCTGAGAGTACTGTTTACACTGACCTAAGAATATAACACCAAAGTATCAAGCTAATACAAACTATGGTATTGCGAGGAGGAGTGAGTGGTCAGGGTAGACTGGTAATGCAGAGAATTAAGTCTGCATCACTATAATGGGAAGTCAATAAATTATATCTAAAACAGAAAAAAATCTAGAAGTATTTACATACACATGGCATTTGAAATTTGGAGCTAATGCAAAAGAATCAAAGCTAAAAAAGAGTTGAAAATGGTTGGCTTTGGGAAAGACAATGTTATTACTACTATTATTATTTTTTTTTTTTTTTTTTTGGAGCAGAGTTTGCTTTGTCACTCAGATTGGAGTGCACTGATGTGATCTTGACTCACTGCAACCTCCGTCTCCTGGGTTCAATCGATTCTTCTGCCTCCCAGCCTGCTCGAGTAGCTGGGATTACAGGCACACACCACCACACCCGGCTAATTTCTGTAATTTTTGTAGAGACAAGATTTCACCATGTTGACCAGGCTGGTCTCGAACTCCTGACTTCAAGCCTCAGCCTCCCAAAGTGTTGGGATTACAGGCGCGATCCACTGGGCTCTGCACTATTATTTTTTAAATGAAACCTATTAGAATTTCTTGATTCCTTAAATCTGCTTTTCAGACTATCATCAGTGAAGAAACAGGTTTCTTTTCAAAATCCTTTGTAAAATACAATACAAATGAATAACGAGCAACGAGCACTTGGATATGAAATCAATGCTGAATTGCTACAGATTCTTCCTCTCTCCAATTTTGCACTTTTATCATGATGGACAAGTAACAGTTTACAGACAAACACTGAGCTGCAGAGACAGTGTTTTCATCTATGATTTATGTATAACATTGACTAAAAAAACACTTTCAAAATGGGTGCACAACAATGTAACTGCACTTAACTGTGCATAGCAGTTAAGATGGTAAAAAAAAAATCCAAACAAAGTTGTAAAGAAATTCACGCCTGCTAGGAGGGCCATAATCAAAACAATGCAAACCCAGCAAGTGTTGGTGAGGATGTGGAGAAATTGGAACCCTCGTCTATTGCTGGTAAAGAATGTAAGAGTTATGCAACCAGTGATGGAGTTAGTGGTTCCTCAGAAAGAACTACTGGGGCGGCGGCGGTGTCGGCGCGGCACCAACAAAGAGGTTTGGCGCGATGTCTCACACCATTTTGCTGGTACAGACTGCAAGGAGGCCAGAAGGCAGAACTTATGCTGACTACGAATCTGTGAATGAATGCATGGAAGGCGTTTGTGAAATGTATGAAGACATGGGAAAAGAATGAATCCCAACAGTCCTTCTATCACATATGACATCAGTCAGTTGTTTGATTTCATCCGTGATCTGTGAACTTCAGCTGCCTGGGTTGCAAGCTGATACCCCAGCATACCAGCCTTATAAAAAAAGACTGGATTAAAGAAGATCTACATGCTTCTTCGCCAGCGGGTAGGCTCAACAGGCTGAGAAATAACTGTGTTGGAAGCATTGGGGGATGGGGGTAGGCTTGGAACACAGGTGTACAGTGTGCTGTAGTGGAAGTTTTGTATCATATTAATCCTGTTTCCACTTTGTTATACTCTAGCCAAGATTAGCTGTATTAGATGAAATGTGAGGATCTTGTTCAGTAAACCCCTGTTGCCCCCTCTTTTTTTCTTTTCTTTTTTTTTCACTCCGACATTTTTATGATGATTTAGATGGAAGTTGTTCTTTGTTAGTTAATGTTGGTTCCAGTCCTTGATCTCCAACTGGGTTCCAGTCCATTCAGCTGGAATGCATAACATTCACTGTAGTAACCCTTCTTCAAGTTGCAGGGGGGGAGGGTGGAAACACAGTTTAGCCATGTCCTCAAGATAAAGTTGTGGTAAAAATAAATAAGTGTTCTTTAGTAAAAAAACAAAACAAATAAAACTACCATGTGATCCAGCAGCTCCACTCCTAAGCACATACCCAAAAGAATTGAAAGCAAGGACTTGAACAGATACTCATACACCATGTTCTTAGCTGCATTATTCACAGTAGCCAAAAGGTGGAAACAGCCCAAATGTCTACCAACAGATGAATGGATAAACACAACGTAGATGTTGCTATACAATGGAACATTATTCAGCCTTAAGATGGAATGAAGTTCTGACGTATGTGACAACATGGATGAGCCTTGAAAACATGCTGTGAAAGGAACCAGACACAAAAGGACAAATACCTGGATGTTTCCTCTTATATGAGCTTCTAGAGTGGTCAATTCATAGAGACAGAAAGGAGAAGGGTGGTTGCAGGGGCTGAGAGAGGATGGGACTTGTTTAAGGGGACAGAACTTCTGTCTGGGATGATGAAAAAGTTTGCAAACAGACAGTGATGATGGTTGCACGACATTTGTGAATGTACTTGATGCCACCTAACTGTACATAAAAATGGTTAAAATTGCAAATTTTATGTTATATATTTTCATCCACATAGCAACAAATTCTTAAAATACCCTAGGTTTAAAGTCTAAAAGGTTTTGGCCGGGCGCAGTGGCTCAAGCCTGTAATCCCAGCACTTTGGGAGGCCGAGGCGGGTGGATCACGAGGTCAGGGATGGAGACCATCCTGGCTAATGTAAGGTAAAACCCCGTCTCTACTAAAAGTACAAAAAACTAGCTGGGCGGAGTGGCGAGCGCCTGTAGTCCCAGCTACTCGGAAACTGAGGCAGAGAATGGCGTAAACCCAGGAGGCGGAGCTTGCGGTAGAGCTGAGATCCGGCCACTGCACTCCAGCCTGGGTGACAGAGGGAGACTCCGTCTCAAAAAAATAAAAAATAAAAAAAAATAAATAAAGTCTAAAAGGTTTCTCTTGTTAAATATAAAATGAGAATGTTAAATGATAATAAAATAAATAAATAGAAAATAACAAAGGAGAACCCAGAGGATCAGGAAGAGGGCCAGGATGGTGTAAGAGGTGGCGAGTTTTAGAAGTATCTGGGGAGGAGGTGGAGGAGGAGACTTCGGGAGCAAAGATTCAGTAGCAGGGCTGTGAGGCTGAATGGGTTATTTTGAGAACCCATGTGGCTGAAACCTGCGACCGCATGGAGAGAAACAGGAGATTCAAGGTGGAAAGCTCTGACCATCACTAAAGATTCTGTGAGCAGTGAGTAGCCCGGCAGGGGGTTTCAAGCCGGGGATTCACAGAATCAGGGCTGCGCTCTACATCAGGGGGCTGCAAACTCCAGCCTGCATCAGAATCACCTGGAGAGCTTGTTTAAACACAGCTTGTTGGCGAGTGTAATTGGCTCACACCTGTAATCCCGGCACTTTGGGAGGCTGAGGCGGGCAGATCATTTGAGGTCAGGAGTTCGAGACCAGCCTGGCCAACACGGTGAAACCCCATCTCAAAACAACAACAACAACAACAACAAAACACAGTTTGCTGGGCTCTACCTCCCCGTTTCTCATTAGCAGGATATAGGGCTGGTGGTGGGATGACAGTGGGACAGGCGGTGGGATGTTGAACCCCTCTCTCTTCTCCTAGACACCACCACACGTCTCCTGCTGGGTGCCATTGCGGTCCTTCTGTTCGCCATCTTGGTGGTGATGAGCATCTTGGGTGAGCATGCATGTCAGAGCATTTATGCAATTCAATTTGCACATTCCTTGTTAAAAGCACATCTAATTAGTTAAAGAAACAGTCTGAACGTTCCAAGAATCCTGTGGGGGACTAAGTAAGTAGAAAATACATAGTGTCAGTTGTTGAGATTTTAGCTTAAAATAATATATTCACACACAGACTATACATGTCCCCTTTATTAAGCCATGCAGGTAGAGTGGAGATGTTACTTAGGTATTATTTTTTAAGTGCTGTGAGAACTCAGAACAAACTTGGGGTAGGTTAGGAAGACAGTGCTTCTTGGAGGAGATGGTTTGGGAATAAGGATCATATTCAGTCAGGCACAGTGGCTCACGCCTGTAATCCCAGCACTTTGGGAAGCTGGGGCGGGTGGATCACCTGAGGTCAGGAGTTTGAGACCAGCCTGGCCAACATGGTGAAACCTCGTCTCTACTAAAAGTACAAAAATTAGCTAGCTGTGGTGGTGGGTGCCTGTAACCTTTGGCCGGATTGGGAGGCTGAGGCAGGAGAATTGCTGGAACCTGGGAGGCAGAGGTTGCAGTGAACTGAGATCGCACCACTGCACTCTGCCCTGGGCGACAGAGAGAGAGAGACTCTGTCTCAAAAGCTAGCAACAACAACAACAACCACAACAACAACAACAACAACAAAACCCACACATCACATTCCAGTCAGCAAACATTTGTTGAGTGCTGCTGTGTACTTAAGCTCTGGGCTAAGTGCTAGGGTTAAAAAGAAGACAAATATGACACTGTCTCCTGTGTCCAGGGAGTAGAATGCAATAATAGAGTATTACTGCCCAGTGGCTTCCCAGAAGGAAAACACATGTGCAATGAACCCTGAAGAATGAATAGGAGCTTCCCAGAGATGAGGAGGTAGAGTGCTAGGGGGAGGAAAAAGCTTTTCCTCTGCCCTCTTAAGTTCAGTGTCTAGGGGCCTGTAAATTAAACTATCAAAGACAAATTAGCAGGAGAAAAGGTACCCAATGTTTCTTAATATTTATGTTCATGGGAGTTCACAGATAATAAGTGAAACTCAAAGAAGAATTTAGACTCAGGGGCTTACACACCTTTTTAACAAAGGAAAGAGGGCTTGGGTTTCAAGGGCTGGTAAATTAAGGGAAGTGACTAGGAAATACACGGAGGAACAACAGGAGATAAAAGGCTATTTTAGCAGTAAGGTTTGCTTATGCAAACTAATCTTAGTGTTGGTCATGGCATATTTGATGATGAGTCCTCTTCCCTCCTGGTTTAAGAATTGGGCAGTGGGGTATGGGAGGTATGGGGTGAGAGGATGGGGAGTAGGGCAGCTCCCTCCCCAAAGGGAGAATTATGCCCTACTCTGGCAGATGAGAGGGTAGAGAACTCTTCCTGTTGATTCTGAATTGCCTTCAGCTTAAAATGATCCATATGTCAAAGTAATATTTTAGGGTAGCATATTCTGAACCCTATCAAGGGAATAGGAACATTCCCTGAAATGGGAGAGGCCTGAGAAACAGAGAGAGTGTGGAACTGACAGGGGTTGGATAAATGAAAAGGTAGAAACTGCAACTAAAACCGTGAGGCTATATGAACAGGGAATCTGATTACTTTTAAGAGATTCAAATACAAGTGTGGCCTTAGGTTCTGAAGGTTTCTAAAAATGATATTAGTGCCTCTGTCTTTAATCTTTGAAATGCCGTAAGACCAGAGTGGAATCCATAAAATGGGGGAAAAATTCCACCAAGATTATCAATTCCTAAACCCTCCCTATGGGGCTTGTATAACAAGGACAGGGGGTTCTGAGTGTTTAGAAATGGATATAGCGGCCGGAGTGCAGTGGCTCAAGCCTGTAATCCCAGCACTTTGGGAGGCCAAGGTGGGTGGATCACTTGAGGTCAGGAGTTCAAGACCAGCCTGGCAAACATGGTGAAACCCTGTCTCTACAAAAAATACAAAAATTAGCTGGGCATGGTTGTATTGCACCTGTAGTCCCAGCTACTGGGAGGCTGAGGGAAGAAGAATCGCCCGAACCCGGGAGGCAGAGGTTGCAGTGAGCTGAGATTGTGCCACTGCACTCCATCCTGAGCAACAGAAGAGACTCTGTCTTAAACAAACAAACAAACAAAAAAAAGGGTAACCACTGGGTCTAGCTTAAATTCACCTAGAATAATTCCTACAAATTAAATCAGTTTTCTTTTATCCTCTTACATCAGTTTTCTTTTATCCTCTTACTAGGTTGGGAGGCCAGAGAATGTGTAGACATAGCTAATATGATTTCAATAAAGCACAACAGTCTCTTAGGAGATCCTTGCGGAAAAGCAGTTGAGATGTGAGATGTAACCACACCATGGTCAGTACTCCCAGGTGGACTTGCATCTCATTGAACAGATATATATGCCCAAGGGGTGTCGATGAATGAATTGGTGTCTGTGTGGCTGGAGATCCCTAGGGGCTTGAGTACCAGAGGCCTGTTCTTGGCTCTGTCCTGGTCTACATTTTAATCAATCACTTGTATGAAAACAAACAAAAAGTATGCTTATGGAATTTGCAGCTGACACAATCCAAAAACACAATCCCACATGACAGATGGGTGAAAGAAATCAAGATTAAAATGTATCTTGAAAAACTCAAATGATGAGCCAGAGTGAATGAGATAAATGTGGAAGAAATAAATATAAGGTTCTGCATTTGGATTTAGAAGTTATTTTCACATGTTCTGACACTGGGGAGACCTGGCTTAGAATCCAGATCATATGAAAACAATCTGCGTTGTGGATTAATTCCATTTGGCAGAGGCCCTTTGAAGCTCGGGCTCCTTCCCAGAAAAGTCCATGTATGCACATACCCGCCCGATCTGTTCACAGAGCAGTCTGCAGACTGGAGATCCCATGACAACTGAGACAGCATGAGTGGTCACTGCTAGCTGCTGATAGAGCCACATCTGAGAGTGTCCCGGTCTGTCCTGGTGGCAGCGATTCAGTGGTAACCTGGGGACATTGCAGTGAGCAGGCAGGATGGAGAGCAACCCTTGCCCAGGAATATCCAGGAGAGATGGCACCTGTTTCCAGCCTGGATGAGGCAGGCTGGTGTGCTTCTTTGAGTAGGGGGTAGAAGACAGAACGGGTGTCTCTGGGTCACTCCAGAGCCTAGATCCTAGACCAGCAGGTCTAGGTCACGGAGACAGGTTGGGGACTCAACATTTAGAACTTTCCATGCACACTAACAGCAAGGGGTTAAGGAAAATAAAAAATGCAAAGACCTTCCCAGCAGTTCAGTGGTGGAATGGCAGCCTTGGTAGCTAATGTGGGCATGGTTAATGATAGCGGGCAGTCTGTCCTGCTGTTGAGTACCTCGCCTAGCTGGAAAGAGAGGACACGTAGCTGCCAGGTCTCTTCCCAGTCTGAGTTTCTGGCGTTCCATGCCTCTGGGAGTTTGGAGACAGAGGTCCTAACCCAGTAGCTGTGACCGCTGTCATGTCCCCTTGTGGTGGCCTTGCCAGGCTTCCCACTGTCCCCTTTCTCATTCATTTAGTGGCCACCCCCTTTTTACCTCAGGCACCAGGAGAGGTGCTCACCGGGAGAGGACAGCCCACGCCTGCAGTGTCCCTGGAGGATGCCAAAGCTGAGGTGGGGAGGAGCCACAGAAAGCAGAGTGGGACTCTGGCCGGGGGGAGTGGGGCGGAGCAGACCAAGCGGTCTCTTCCCTGCAGCTTCCAAGGGCTGCATCAAGAAGTCTGAAGGCGCCCTGCCCAGAGGACTGGCTGCTCTACGGAAGGAAGTGTTACTTCTTTTCTGAGGAACCCAGAGACTGGAACACAGGCAGGCAGCCACTGCCACACCCATGAGAGCAGTGCTGGCTGTGATTCCAAACCAGAAGGAGCTGGTGAGTGTGCCGAGGTGAAGGGCAGAGGGACCTTCAGGGCCCTCAACCTTGACTCTAGGGGACAGTCACATCCTAAAGGATGCAGTGTTCCCTGTGACACATCTCCAAACACCACCTGCTGCATAACCACTGGGGGTGCAGGAAGGCTATCACGGTCTGAGCACATCAATGAGTGGCTCCAGTTTCCACTTCCATTGTCAAGGCCACCTATTTCAATCCAAGGCCCACTGGTTGAGGTCACTTAGTATTATAAACCATAAATTACCAATTATCAAGCTGGTGATGGCGGGCGCGGTGTGGCTCAAGCCTGTAATCCCAGCACTTTGGGAGGCTGAGATGGGCGGATCACGAGGTCAGGAGATCGAGACCATCCTGGCTAACACAGTGAAACCCCGTCTCTACTAAAAATACAAAAACCTAGCCGGGCGAAGTGGCGGGCGCCTGTAGTCCCAGCTACTCGGGAGGCTGAGGCAGAAGAATGGCGTGAACCCGGAGGCGCAGCTTGCAGTGAGCCGAGATCGAAGCCCACTGTACTCCAGCCTGGGCGGCAGAGCGAGACTCCGTCTCAAAAAAAAAAAAAAAAAAGCTGGTGATTGTGAGTATACACCTCTGGTAGCAGCTACTCGGGAGGCTGAGGCAGGAGGATCACTTGAGCCCAGGAGTTGGAAGGTGAGTCACCCGACAACACAGTAAGACCCTAGCTCTACAAAAGTAAAGGAAAATTAGCTGGGCATGGTGGAGCGTGCCTGTAGTCCCAGCTACTTAGGAGGCTGAGGCAGGAGGATCACTTGAACCCAGGAGTTCAAGGCCAGCCTGGGCAACATAGCAAGACTTTGTCTCTCTCTTTTTTTTTTTTTTTTTTTGAGGCAGTCTCACTCTGTTGCCCAGGCTGGGCTGAGTGATGCAATCTCAGCTCACTGCAGCCTCCGCCTCCTGGGGTAGCGGTCTCATGCCTCATCCTCCTGATGTCCTAGGGACTACGGCCGCGTGCCACACGCCTGGCTACTGTATTTTTAGTAGAGGCTGGGGTTTCACCATGTTAGCCAGGCTGGCCTCGAACTCCTTGGCCTCAAGTGATCCACCTGCTAAACCTCTAGAGTGCTAATTATTAGGTGTGAGCTACTGTGCCCAACCCTGGAGCTTGTTTCTTAAGAAAAAAAAGAATTGGCTGAGCACAGTGGCTCACGCCTATAATCCCAGCACTTTGGGAGGCCGAGGTGGGCAGATCACGAGGTCAGGAGATCGAGACCATCCTGGCTAACACTGTGAAACTCTGTCTCTACTAAAAATACAAAAAAAAAAAAAAAAAAAAAAAAGAAAAAAATTAGCGGGAGTGGTGGCAGGCGCCTGTAGTCCTGGCTACTTGGAAACTGAGGCAGGAGAATGGCATGAACCGGGAGGAGGGTTGCCGTGAGCCGAGATCGTACCACTGCACTCCAGCCTGAGCGACAGAGCGAGACTCTGTCTCAAAAAAAAAAAAAAAAAAAAAAAGGAAAAAAGAATTACAATTATAAATGCATTGTGAAATGTAAAAACATTGTCATTTTCTAAAGATCAAATCAGGATATAGTCTCTCATTTAACATCCAAAACAGTTTTAGCAAACGTGAAAGAAACACAGTGAATGGAGTCTATTGGCCGTTTTGGATTTTGAGGTTAATGATGAGTGTTAACCAAAATAGAAGATAATCTAAAAATCACTTCTGTTTGCCTTTGATACACAGTATGATATCCCCAGTCTGCAGGGAAAGTCCCAGAAATTTGCAGGTAGGACAACCAACCTGAGCATTGAGATTTGTCCCAGATCATCCATCCAATGGGCAATCCCCAAGCTTCCTGCAAATCAGGAGTGCTGGCCTGCTGAGCTAGGAGGGCAAGCCCTGTCACGGCCTTCTGGCCAGTGGAGGCGTGCACACAGAGCCAGAGTCCCTTTCCAAGCTGTCCGGAGGCCATTGCTGTAGGTCGCGAAGCAGCCGGAGCCGAACTCTGGCAGTGTGACTGCGGGAGGAACCTGTAAGCCCTGGCTCCTCACTTTCAGGATGCATCGAGACAGCAGTCACTCTCCTGGCGTCCTTACCTCCCGAGGCAGTATCTTCCAAGCTGAGGTTTGTCTTGGGATGTGACAGCAGTCAGGAGACCGCATCTGACCTGGGGGTGTCCCTCTTTCCTCGGTGCAGGAATTTATGTTCAAGTTCAGGGAGGGAGCCCTGGATTGGACTACGCAGAGTTGGGGCGAATTCACTGGGTCAGCGAGACCCGTTTGATCCAGACACGTGAGCTGAGGCTTCATCTTCTGGCCACCGAGCTTAGACTGAGAAAGGCCTGACTCACCCCCTGGACACAGCTCCCGAAGAGAGAGAAGCCCTTGGTTTTGTGCTGGCTAGAGATACTAGTCTGGGTCCATGACGTCGCCAGGAGCTGATCATGAAAATGCCTGTGCTTCTCCTCTCTCACAAAAGTCCAGCCTGGCGTGGTGGCTCTGCCCTGTGAAGCCATCGGAGCTTCCCAGTGTCTGGCCCAGGGTCTCTCCACCCTTGAGTCCCGATCTGTGCAGCCTGGCGCTTCTCAGCTTACACTGGCACAACCATCCCATTCAGCCCCAGCGGGACAGCGAGCCGGGAGAGGGTCCTGGATGGCCTCACCCCATTGGCGAACTTAGTCACATGGCACCTGGCACCGCAAGGGAGGATGGGAGATGCGCCTCCGTCCTGGGCAGCCACGTGGCACCTAAGCACTGTAGCTGTGGAGAGAAAGGGGATCACAGAGAGCAGGCACCCGGAAGTGTTCTAGAGCCACATTTTCTGGCGAGACGCATCTCTTGATGGAGAGGCACTGCTGAGGTGGTGGCGTGTGCCGTGAGTGGTTTTGTAAGACTCACGTGGTGTGGGGAAATGAGTGTGTGATGCAGGGGTCTGGTGGTGTGGTGTGGGGGTGATGGTCATGGGTGGAGTGGGTGGCAGATGTGTGGCTGTGGCAGTACAGTGGGGACTGTGTGGGGCTTAGGGAAAGGAGTGGTCTGGGCCTGAGAAATGCAGGGAGGTGCATACGGGGGAGTGGGACCCGCAGGGAACAGACCCTGTGGCTAGAGGAATATGCTCCCTGAGAGTGCCAGCGGGAGGACATGGGGGTGGGAGTGGAGAACACAGCTCCTAACCGATGATGATGACACGTAGGCATCCCCAAGGCAGGGGCTAAAGCAGAAGGGCGTCTGAGACCTCGGATCCTCCTGGTTGCCAGAGGTGGCCATCGGCTGCCCTCCCACCTGAGAATTGGCTTAGGCAGTCACGCCCATGGCAGCCCTGGAGGCAGGGGCATTCATGATGCTTCCCCTCCTCCTCCTTTTCCTTATCGCAAGCACTCTTCATTTTTGCCCCTTACTCTGGCCTCGAGTGCCCCTTCCGTTTCTCACCCCTTTCCTGTCCCCTCTCCAGGTCTGCTCTCAGAGTGGCTGAGCAGGTCTTGCACTTTCCACCCCTCTCCCTGCCTTTCTGGAAGCTTCTTGCTCTCAGAGCCCTGCAGGTTGGGGTCTGTAGCATCCTGACCACCTGTAGCAGCCAAGGGAGCCTTTGGCCACATTTCTCGGAACACTGCAGAGAGTTCTTTCCTTGCACTCTTTCTTGGGAGTCCTTCAATGCCCTCTGTTGTGAGGGTCTACCTCCAACCTTGGCAGGGATCGGAGGTCTGGGTGAACAACTAAGGTTAAGAAGAAACCTCTGAGGCTGGAAGAGGTGATTTTTGGAAGTAAGGGGAATCTTCCCACACTGAGTCTGTGTGTGATGTCAATGAGTTCTGGGCAACACAGCCTCAGTTAGCCCATATTGGGGTGTACCGCTGGCCCCTAACCTGTGAGGGAGTAGCTGACTTCAGCCAGCTCTGCGGGCTCCTCCTGTGTGTTCGACTCTGCGCATTGCAGAATTGCCAAGATGAGAGGACACAGAGCTCGCTGCTCGGGAGGCTGGCTGCTTTGAGACCTGTGGACAGACAGGTAGAGGTCCCAGGGGGCTGTGGGAGTGCCCCACAGAGCAGGCAGGGGACTGTGGAGAGGTAAATTAGGCAGAGTGGCCCTGAACTGGGTGTCATGGAGCCTGGGACCTGTGAGCCAACTCTGCAAGGACATGGAGAATGGGGAAGTGTGTGTGTCAGGAAGTGTCTGAGCGCGTGCAGGGTGGCTGAAGCTACGATTGCACAGAGTATGAAGACAATGGGATGCCAAGCTAGAACAGTCTGTCAGCACAAATGTCCTAGAAGGCAGCTCCAGTGATAAAGTGAGGAGGATAGGCCTCACGGCTCCATGGCCTCCTGCCACTGGGTTTTGGGCTGAATGTCCCAGATCATAGCGCCTGGTCTTCTCTCCTGGCCACAGGTTCACCATCGCAGGTCCGGGAGTGTGTCTTCGTGGAGCCCACCAGGCTGGTGTCGTGGAGTGTCTGATGACCCGGCCCTGGGTGTGCAGCAAGATGGCCTATACGTGAGGTGGGTGGGGCCAGAGGTGGCCCCTCCCCCCAGGCCTGTGGGCGGTGTCTGCCCGAGACCTGCTCCAGCGGAGCCGCCTGCCCTCTGCAAGACCAAGCAGTGGGGTGGGTGGCCTCTGCCCCAGGCCCCTCTCCCAGGCCCTGGCGCTCTGAGTCCCTGGTTCCTGGCCTCCTTTGTCTCCAGGCAGGTCGTGTGGCTCAGCAGTTAAATCTCATATGCTAAGTAGTGTAGGCATCTGCCCACCCTACGCGCACACACCTGCCCCATACGCTGCCCTTGCCCAGCGCACACACACCGCGCCTCGCTGCATACATACGCACACACACATGCATACGCACACGCACGCACACACACTGTCCCTCTGAAGCTCAGTGTCCACCTGAGCCACCCACAGATCTCTCTCTGGCCCCCTAGAAGCCCTCTCCTCACTGCAGCCCTGGTGCTCTGGGGATGGAGGGGCATTGACAGGTGGTTTGACTGTTCATTCCGCTTCCCCAGTGGTTTCTCTCATGGCTGCCGGCGGAGGCAGGCTCAGAGGAAAGCTTCCCCCTCACCTAGGCCAGGCCAGCCTGGGCCCAGAGGTCCCCTGCGTCCCCCTTCTTTGCCTTGCCTAGGTCCTCAGGCAGCGCCCCTGCTGTGTCCGTGGTGCTGTTGTATTGGTCACTAACGGAATAAAGAGTTAATAACTCGTGTCCAGAGAAGTCTGCTGCCATTTGTTCCAGAGTCAGAGCTTGGGGAGGGACAGCGAGGGGCACATCTCTGGGTGCCAGTCTGTGGGGACCACCACAAAATTCACCTGTTCTAGTGCAGCAGATAGCGGTGTGTGAGGATGAGGATCATTTCATGTTGCTAAGCCTTTAAAATTATTCTTAGGTGTATTTCAGCTCCTTCATTGCTAGTCACCTCAAGATGACAAATGTTTATTCACACCTACCACAAGCCAGACACCACACCAGCCATGGGGATCTATGGCCTTATCCCCCAAGAAGCACACAAGGAGCAGAGGAAACAGCTCAGAAAGTGCTAGAACATTCTGGAACACAGTCAAGGGATGGTTTATTCTTCATTGGGGCAGGATGGAATGAAGTGAGCAGGAAGATTAGGTGGTGTTCATTGAGCTGGGAAAAGAGTTTGTGAAGGTCTTATGGCCTCTTCCTATCCCCCTTGATCTGCTTGGGGAGGAAGTGGTGGGGGCATGGGGTTGGCAAGCAGTGCCCTCGGGCCTGTGGGGCTCCTGTCCTCCCACACACTCGAAAGGCTCCAGCATCCAAGCTGCAGTGGATCCTGAGCCTCTCCGGCCTCCTGCTGTTCCCAGACAGCGAATGAGATGTGGGTAGCCTGCCTGAGAGCCCAGTGCATGCATTGATCCTGGCCCATTTTTCAGAAAATAGCTCGGAGAAAACCGGAGTCCTGCTGTGCTCTGCGCAGTCCTAGTACTAGTTTTATAGTCTTCCAGACAAAACCTCCAACTTGGAGTTTGTTACATTTTCTGCATGCTTTCAGATACTTTGTAAAATACAGGTGGTTTGTGGTTTATATTTTGCTGTCACTGGGAAGCCAGTTGAGACCTGAGTATACAATAAAGTACTTAAGGGAATTCAGCTGGTGGTGGTGGGCCTGTAGGGATGGCTGTGAGGTTGAGGTTGAGGAAGTTGTCAGCTGCTGCCGCTTCTCGGGTGGGAGTCCCACACTCCCACCTGTTCTCAGTTACGTATAAGCCTGTGTTTCTCACCAGTATCCACCCCTCAAGAACAGCGAGGTTCAAAGCCTCAGTACTGTTTCTTCATTATGGCAGCTCCTTAATTCGCAGAAATGCCGGAGGCAGGTCATGCCTATCGAAAGGTGATAAGTGCCTTGCCAGGGTCCTGAGAACCACGTGGCCGAGGCTTCAGAGCTGCTTACCTCAGCCCTGTAAGGTTCAAGGAAGCAATGTGAGGAGAGGACACAGAATGGGTAACCTGTGCCTTTTTGGGTTTTTATTTTATTTTATTATTTATTTGTTTTTCCGAGAAAGAGTCTCACTCTGCGCCCAGGCTGGAGTGCAGTGGTGCAATCTTGGCTCACTGCAACCTCTGCCTCCTGGGTTCAAGCGATTCTCCTGCCTCAGCCTCCCGAGTAGGTGGGACTACAGGTGAGTGCCACCATGCCTGGCTAATTTTTGTATTTTTAGTAGAGACGGGGTTTGACCATGTCGGCCAGGCTGATCTTGAACTCCTGACGGAGTGATCTGCCTGCCTTGGCCTCCCAAGGTGCTGGGATTACAGATGTGAGCCACTGCATCTGACCTGGGTTTTATTTTTTATTAAATGATCCAAAACTCGCTGCCTGAAGCTTTTAAAACTATTGGCAAATAAAGTCTTTTAACTGTAGGTTTGCCCTGGGACCGTGCAACAATTCTAAATCAGTTTGGGAGAGCATGTGCCCTGATCCAGGGTCATCAATGTTTTAAGATTTTTTTCAATCTGTTTTCTACCAATGAAGGAAGTACAAGATAAAAACAAAACACTGGCACACCCAACTTTAGAAATGTCGAAAATCCTTCCAAAGTTTACAGACCAGCCAGGCCGCCCCTGTCCCCTTTGTGGGGCTGAACCAGGCCTCAGGTTTGCAGAGCCTTGGCACTCTGTGCTGTGCTCTCAGCAGCTAGGCGGCAGCACTGAGGGCAGACATGCCCTTTTTGATCCTAGAGTTCATGGCTCCTTCAGCAAGGAGGTCTGAACCATCTCTCCAAGTCTCCTCCTCATCCTGAGGCAGATTTTTTTCCTTTATGAGGTGACTGGCCTTGGGAGCTCAGAGCTGGGGAAGGTGCTCCTAGACAGAGGTTGAGCCTAATCCCAGTAGGCAGAGGGGGCTTGTAGAAGCCCAGAGCACACACACACAGCCACCCACAGATGCGCACTTCGATGGAGGATACCCAGGAGAGACTTTTATTTCATTAAATTAAGTAATTAATTTGTATTATTATTATTTGAGACGGAGTCTCACTCTGTCACCAGGCTAGAGTGCAGTGCGTGATCTTGGCTCACTGCAACCTCTGCACTCCCAGGTTCAAACAATTCTCCTGCCTCAGCCTCCCAAGTAACTGGGACTACAGGTGTGCATCACCACGCCCAGCTAATTTTTTGTATTTTTAGTAGAGACAGGGGTTTCACCATGTTGGTTAGGCTGGTCTCAAACTCCCAACCTCTTAATCTGCCCACCTTGGCCTCCCAAAGTGTTGGAATAACAGGCGTGAGCCACCGCGCCCAGCCTATTAGTTATTTTTTTTTGGAAAGGGAGTCTTGCTCTGTTGCCCGGGCTGGAGTGCAGTGGCGATCTCAGCTCACTGCAACCTCCGCCTCTCGAGTTCAAGCAATTCTCCTTCCTCAGCCTACCAAGTAGCTGGGATTCCAGGCACGTGCCACCATGCCTGACTAATTTTTATATTTTTAGTAGAGATAGGGTTTTGCCATGTTGGCCAGGCCAGTCTTAAACTCCTGACTTCAGGTGATCTTCCTGCCTCGGCCTCCCAAAGTGCTGGGATCATAGGCATGACCTTACTGCGCCCCGGCCCTAGGAAAGACTTTTTAAGCTTGACTGGGTGGTAGCATTTGGTGCTGTCCTGAAGGATTAACTAGTGTAGTATGCATCTTCCTCACAGCCCTGCCGGGTCAGAATGATCAGCCCAGCTCATCGGCTACAGGCCTTGCCCCATAGTACACAGTTGGGAGGTGGCAAAGCCAGGATTTGTTGGGGAGGTGGCAAAGCCAGGATTTGAACAGACCCATCCCCATGGCGCCCTCGGGCAGCTGCATGATGTGTGGGTGAGCCACCTGCTGCGCTGGCCAGCTCTGTGGAGGAAGGGTGGGAAGTGTTTGTGTGTGCAGTGGCTGAAGGGAGCCACCCTGGGAAAGAAATCTACATGCCCACGGAGCAGATTCTTTTCTGGATGCCTTTGTCTTCATCACACGACATTCATGTGAATTACCCATGGAGAGTGTGTGATGTGAAGAATGACTTCTGTCCTTCCTTCCTTTAAGGTCCAGGTCAGCCTCCCTGGAATGCCTTCCTGGCAGCAACCTTTTCGTGACCACTCCCTTTGCCCAACATCTCTGCCTCTTAAGACTGAGCCTCTTACATGACCCTGTGTCTGTGTGGCTTGTCATCTTGTGACTCTTCTCTTTATGTCATCTGACCACTCCTGTCATCTGTTGATAAGCCTCTCCACAGTGGCCCCGAGATGTGAGGACTCCATTGTTAGTCTCTGTAGTACACATAGCAGATGCTCAAAATTGCTGTGTATGATAATCAGGTGCCTGGAGTGTCATCTGTGAACTATTCGCCATGGTGGGAGGTAGCGATGGCTGGCTATTGTCCAGAGCCTCATCTTTTTGGCTTTGGTGGCATGGCATGATTTCAGAGGCACAGCCAACACGAACCCCTTGCTTATGTTAAATGAGCTCATTCATATTCCTAAGTGTGCACATGCTGGACAGGTGGAGGGTGGGGGTGGCCCAAAAAAGTCCAGGGAGTGCTGAGGGAAAGCTGCCTTCATCTTCCGAGTGTCCTTCATCACCACACTAAGCCCAGTGACGAGGAGATGACTGAGAGGAAGCCAGGCCAGGAATGTTGCCATCAGTAACTGGGGTTGGCATTTGAAGGGTCCTGTGATCGCTGGGAAAATCCTGTCCACATCGTATCAGTGTGTTGTTCTGTGAGAGTGACCTAGGTTTTCAGAAATGCCCACTCTCTGCTGAGTGCTTGCACCGGGAGGCGGGTGGAGGAGAGGTACCTGCCTCTTTCCTCTTGGTCAGTGGCCGGCTCCAAACTGTAAGTATGGGATTCAAGATTGGGAGCAACAAGAAAGCCCCTTGCCACCCCCATCAGAGATTCCCCGCTCTCTGCCAAGGCAGCCCCGGAGTGGACGCACTCCACAGCTCCCAAGGCCTGCCTGGATCTGCAGGTCTGGTTCACCAGCAGCGGTTGTGTAACTCCGGCTGCCATATGAAACCTCTCTGACCTTAGGCTTTCCATCTGTCTATAAAGTTGGAATAATAGTGCCCTGCTGACTTCCCAGGGCTTTGAGGTGTAAATGTTAGTATTTCAGGAGCTAGAAATGATCCACCCCATCTCACTATCCATGAGGCCCAGGGCAGTTAGAAGTAACACATCCTAAGTCACATCACTCCAGGCTGTGTGGCTGTCCACTGTTCTAGTTTGTATTCATTATTGCACGTGTCGTGTTTGTTGGTGTTTACTAGTCCATCATTCAC